TTCCTCAGCAAAAATATTTCCCTGAATGTCCCTCTATAAGTACACGCAGGCCCTCCTTCACTACCCTCACCGTCTTCAGAATATGACGTCATCTGTCACCGTCGTCGAGCTCAGGGAGGCCTACAGTAACTGCTTCAGCCTGAAGCTCTTACATAATTTCGTGAATCGATTCAACGTGGGATGTTAACCAACATTAGCTCTAACTATGCAAACCCCCTCGAACCCGCCCTTCGGAACCCGTCGTAACGGTACACGATCAGTCGAGAACCCCATTGAGCTCGACCAGAGCACCATGTTTCCGGGCAAACTTTTCTGATGCCGTCCACGTAGATGGCCACTATGAAGATTTTCTTATGAATGAAATGCGCTCTTCAATTCTAAGTTGGGAGCACACGCTTTGAGCTGAGCAAAGTGTGATTAAATCCATTTGAGTCTGGAGACAAAATGTCTTTTTTGCCGCCCCTGTAAATATATATATACTTTATACAAGTAATATATCCTTCTATTTTATAAAGCGCTAACTTTGTGTGTCGGTTTGTATGTATGTATGTGTGTATGTATGTATGTGTGTCCGTCCGCAAAATGAAGTGAGTGAGAAGGAAGCTCATGGGATAAACAAACCGCTAACAGAATCATGTAGCTCACAGGACTTTAGCTATTAGTGTTTTGCAATGGCATGATTGTGATAGCATCCCCAACGGCTATATAAACACGCACTTAGCACACTTTCGGTCATTCGACAAGGTGATGCTGTGGTAGCCGGCGAGCAGAGGGGAACGAGGGGAGAGTAAGGAGAGGAGGGAGAAGGGAAAGCTTACGCAAGGTAGGGAGGTTCCGGCGCTTGCCGGGGGACCAATCTGGTTAATATACTCCATACTTATTATAACCTGTAAAAAAACTATATACTGTATAACCAGAAATAGCGGTACATATTAGCAAAGAAATCAAATCGTCAAAAATGACTATCAAAACTCGGAAAACATCAGTGAGTGTCAGCCCACAGCTATGAAGGGGCGTCGTCTGATACAACCTGACATAGCCCTCTCCTAGAGATACATAAATTTACGATTGTTTAATTCAACGATTATCCCGCTATCAGGTCTCTTGCCTGGGCTCGACAAAAATATCCGAAATAATCGCAGGAGCTGTTGGTACAGTTCAGCATGCTACAGCCACGAGTTACTTTCTGGTCATAATTGGAGACCAGATGAGCAAATCGTGTCGCACCATTTGCTTCATTTAACTTTAGAATCACACTTTAAAGAAGAAAAAAACATTTTTTTTCAGTGGCCACGCATGAGAAATGATAGAAAACGATTCATATCTAATGAGAAAATTTTAAGTTCCATGTCACAAAAAATTAAGCCTTTGTTTTCCAGAATCCACCCAGTTCGTTGAAAATGTGTACACGCTCTCATACAACAAGACGTGCGCCGATAATATACAAATTGGATTCGCGCACAAATGATCGACATGCTGGGCAGTCAAGTTGGCCGGGACCAGTTGTCCGAACTATTCGAGTGAGCGACATAGTGTATACTCAAAAAAGGCACCTCGTTGAATTACATCTCTGAAAGTTCACCAGCCACTCCTTGCTGCTATCAGTCCTTCTAAGATCCAGGGCTTCCATTCCGGTCACAAGCCATCCCAGCACGCGCATATCGCAGCACAAGGCAACGAACCACCGAAAACATGAAGAACCTACTACGCGGACTCAAGTGCCACAGCAGCGCCGCGGTGGGTTATCCAGGCGACCCACCGTATCTTGTGTTAGCTCTTTCAAAAAGTTCTGGCGTATGATTACAAGAATGCTGGGGTGTGAACAAAACTTTCGCCCCAGCCGGGACTAGAACCCGCACCTCTCGCTTTCCGGGCAAGTGCGCTACGAGTTACGCTACCGGGCACCATTTCTGGTCCCGCCTGGGGCGAAATTTGTCTTCACTCCGCATTTAATAACAAACAATCTGTCTAATTTCACGCCCACTGCCCAATGCATGTGTGCGCACGGCATCGAACTAACCCTTACTTGAAATCCAAGCCGCTGACAATCCAATCTCAAGACAACTTCAATGAGAATCCTGTTCAACCAATGGTCACTTGAAATACTGAGGCTCTGAGGCGAATTAATCTCGGAAAGCTGTTGAAATATGGTGTTGCGTTCCGAGCGTTTCTATGCTAAGGACCAGTCGACCTCCAGTAAAAAGAGACGAGGTAGGCAAAAAGGTTCACTGAGTAAGGTGGATCGTTCCGCAGCAGCATCGTTCCGCAACCCAGCTGGTTCAACTTTTGTAGGGTTGATTGTACGAAGCGCTTGCAAAACACCTGTCAGGGATGTCTCAACGCTGAGCCCATAATTGCTCTTAAAAACTCTGTTCAGTCTCAAACCTCCGTTTTCAATGAGGCGACTGACATACAACGATATACAGCTGTTCAACTCTATTCATTTGCACAACTTTCATTTGGGAGTACAGCACAGGGGTGGTCCCTTCATGGTACGTTCCGATCAGATTCTATGATCTCACAAAAAATAGCCATTTTAAAGCAGATATTTTAGCAGGAAGGTCGATACTTTTTTTCTACAGAAATGATTTGTGATCTCATGAATTATGACATTGCCCCTCCGTTGGCTTTCATGGAGTATATCAACCGTGACAAACGTAAGTGAGAATCGTTGTTTCGAAGCCAGTCTTTCGAATCCCGGATTCTTATAAGATTCTTCTCAGCGTAGAGATTTCTATCGAAAAAAATTAGTCTGCTTGTCTTCCATTTAGATATGCAGGGCAAATTCTTCATAAATATGGCTCCATATACCCCCAGTAATTACCGTGACATGATCAGATATCTCAAAAACGAAACTTTCGATGAAGAGGGCTACGACCGTAAGTATTTGATATTTTTCTTCCAAGCAACAGTCCCAGCAGGGTCTGCTTCTTTCAAAACTAATGGCACTAAAGGATGCACTATTGGAGAACATCTGAAGTGTAGTTATAAAGAAAACTCACCTGGGAAAAGCCTAAAAAGGGCGTTAAACTCCTCAAAGATGGGTGTGGTTGGAAATTTCTTCGGGACCGCCCACTTGCCAGCCGTGATTGGCTACGGAGGCATTCGTGCTCGTTTTGGGACCACAGGGAGTATTTGAACTCTGTCCTTTAAAGTAATCAATGTGATCCTGCCTGTTGCACTGGAATTGTTTTGTTGTTGTGATGTTGTTATGTTATGTATAGTGTTATGTAATTATGTTAGTGTTATGCAACTGGAGCGCATTTAGTGGGGCAAGTTCAGACAACTCGTCCAACGCGCGTCTTCCCACATCATCTCTGAGCGGCAGAAGGGGAGTTTAAAGCCCTGTTCGGCGTTTTTCTTTGGTTTTTTCGTCACTGTCGGTCAAATTGTCGCCTATAACTACATTATCAACGGTATTTACCCCGCAAATTCGTCCTGGGATTGTTGCTTTGAAGTTCAAATTCGACCACTTACCAAGCTGAAGTTCCTCGAGTACTTTGTTTGCAAAGGCGGGATGATCAGTGGCTTAAAAAAGAGCCGATAGGAAACAGGCATAAGATTGAGCTCGCACCATATTGTAGATAATGACTCATCAACCGTAGTGCAATATGTAGAGGAACTTTTGTATTATGACTAGAGCACACTCGTGGGTTGTACTTTCTAATATTTTCCATCCACGAAACATGCGTACAGAAGGTGGACCAAAGTTATGGGACGCGAAGGTCGCTTCCACTTCATTTCCGACCTTTCTCCACTCTATCTCCTTGCTCTGTCTTTATGTATGGTACAATGTCCTCTTCCTATTCGACTTTCGTACCCTCTATATGGGAAACTATGCATGTGGTAGCGATGCCTCATTTCACTGCATCATCCCCGCGTAACGTAAAAACATCAACTTTTTGGATTCTTGTGAATTCAGAGTTACGTCTGATGGTTTCAGTAATTGATGCGCCGGCGTGCACCAGTGGCAAGAGCTGTACGAGTTTGGCTTCATGTCCCAACCACTGACGGTTGAGCGTGTAGTATCGAGCGATTTCGGCCCATTGGTCCTGCGTTGAGCGTGAGTCACGATGAATGAATTGATGCACCCATTTGTATCGACTTCGGAGATTTTCGTTTTCAAAATCCAATATTGTATTGAAGCACTACAAAATCACCCACAGTTTGCATGGCTCCCAAGAAAAAAAGGATAGTACCCTTTATGTCAAGAGCAAGCGTAGTATCGAGCCGCACCATATAGGATTGGGCCTACTGGTCAATAATTGGCCATTTCAGTAATCACTATATTAGGTTGGAAGGAAAGTTCCTTAACACTTGTAGCTCAATTTTTGAATTTATTTTTTTTATTCTTTATTTATTCAATGATCCATAACATATTGACCATTAGATACAACAACACTACGCCAACCTTCGGGCATTTGGGTGACACCGCAGAAATTAGAAATTAGGAAGATTTTTGCCAAACAACCTTCTGGTGTCGGATTTGCGCTCGTTTACGTCGTCGAGCTTCCTGTTCTCCAGGTAATGAGCAAGCGAGCAGGAAAGGTTGAAGAGGTGTATAGATAGGTTTGACGAATATGGCAGACGGGCAGCCGCGGTCCTGCCTGGCTTCAGAGTCTTGTGGCTTGAGACCGAACACCCGCGACGTTGCGCGTTGTCGTGAAGCAGGTTGACTTGTCGCTATATTCGGCGAAGCTCTTCTGCAATCTTTTCGAGCAGCTAGCATTGTGAAGCCCTTGTACTCGTCAATCCTCCAGACAGATCATCACCCGTGGGAAATACCGTCAAACGTCAAAATGGGCAGTAGTCGTGTGTTGCGTCAGAAAGATCAAAGTCTTCGCTGCGGAGCGTTTAAACCAAGCCGAAACCGCCATGTGAGAGAACGTGCCCAGGCCTATCCCGGGACTGATCCTGACCACCTCTGGTGGGCAGATCTCTCTAGGCGGAGCTCTTACAGAATGAGCGCTCGGAGTGTCTGGCGGGAAAAGTTGATTTAGTGCCATGCAAACGCCATTATTGGGAAAGCTGATTTGATCACCGTACGTAGCACGGTCCACTCCTACTATATACCACCCATGGAAGATTCCAGAGCATTCGGGAGAAATCCAGAAAGAGCGCGAATTGAGTGTTAAGGAACTTTCCTTCCAACCTAATATAATTTTTCAATTACAACATTTTGTTGTGATAGTGCTGAAATCTGGAAAGGCTGACCCATTCTTTGACAAAAACATTGATTGCACAGGTTCGTTTGCACAACACTACTCTCTGCTGCTTCATGAAGACGGTCTGACCGCTATGTGCAGCCAACTGTCACTTTCAAAGGCAAAAAAACGAAAACTTGTCTGCAAAGTGTGGTTCCTAATAGGTCTCTTAGACACACTGTCCGTGATCGCCATCATAGCTATGTGTTCATAACAGTCAACTGAGCATTTGGTGCGACCAATTTCTTTATAATAGATAAGGAATAAGAAAAAAAGGGTGCCAAGAGGGTTGGGGGGACCACGCGGCGGCGCGGCGCTCTACTCATCTCCTCCTCCAAGGCTTAGGTCCCAGACGACGCCGCCCGCCGCGTGGTCCTCCTCAACCCCGCTTGGCACAGAAAAGTATTGTGTTGTGCCGTGAGTAATGCTCTTTTTGTTTTTGTATGGAGTTTTTCCTGTGGATCTCTATATTTTTGAAGGATCTCGTTACATGTTTCACGATGAGCATTTCTTTTTGACAATGATGATTGGTGCATAACTCGCGTAGTGGCCCTTTCTTGAAATTTATTGGAAATTAAAACGAAACGGCGCTCATGTCTTTAGGGGGTTGGAGGAGGGAAGGGATTCAAGACAGGGCATTTCAAAACCGCTGAAAGTGACAGTAGGACCAAAACCCACAAAGGGGTAGAAACGCTAGGGAGTATAAAAACTCACACCCTCTCCCAGAGCCCTCTCTTTTCCTAGAGTAGTCGGGGTGAACAACGGTTCGAGGACGACCATGGCTCTCTACTGTGCGAGGGTAGTGTCGAGAGTGGAATATACGCGCGGGAGAGCGTGACTGAACAGGCAAGTCCTCGATGAGCCGTTGCCGTTTCCTCGACCGAGTTCACCTCTGGTCCCATACTGACGGTGGCTTACGCACTTTAATGTCTCCCCCTCCCCCTTCTCTAGCGACATGAGCCCCAACAAAACGTATGAGAGAATAGACAGAAAAAAGCTTGTGAATAATGTAGCAGCTACATGTATATGTAACTCTTTGGGTCTCGGATGAAAACTTTCAGTTCAAAAACCGCTGCGCCATAAAACAAAATCGGAAAGTGCACGGCAAGGCTTCAACGACCTAACAGATTCTCATAACAACTCAAATTGGCGGCCGAATGCAAAAATATATATTTTTAAGCTTCTACATTGACATCTGCCGTGAAGTCTTCGGTAGGGAGTACAATACCGAATACATAAAGGAGGCTGTTCGGTCCACGATATCACACTACGGTGGAGCTGATGGATATAAGGTGAGAGTAAGGTTATCCTTAGAATGGCACATAAAATGAGCGTTCACCAGAACCACTGCACCCCGTGGAATTGAAAATGTCCGCGTCACTGCGATCCCACTAAGGGAGTTAGTGGTGATCATCCAGTGTGAGAGGGCGAAGGTGAAGTTGTGGTGAATAGCGCCGCAACCGCGCAGATGGCCGTAGTACAAATTTGAATCCAGTCAAACTAGTCACTTTATGAAGCATCTTCCAAACTTTGCGCTATGCTTTGTTTCGTTAAACTTTTTTCGCCGTGTTCTGCATTGTTGTTCGGTTTCAGAGTGGTTTTTGCCATTTTGCTTTTCTCAACGCTCTCATTTTATTTTCAAAAGTGGTCAGCTATCATGGTTTTGATCGAGCTACACAGCCCAACTCCCAAGCTATTGTGGGTGGGTAAAACAAACCCAACGATCAAAGAATCAAAAGCAGGGTCAACCGTACGGGAGACGTATCCGTCCGCGTCGACGGCTATTTTTGGAGGAAATTGTGGATTGGAGTTGGGCTGCTGTGTCAACTCGTTCTCAGAATCAAAACTACAGTGACGCTGTGGGGGGGGGGTTCGTGTATGAGGGCCGTCCAGAGGGGGTGGGTCGTAATTTTGCACTTTGTTCAACGTGGACGCGTTAACCTTCATCAAAATGTACTATTGAAATGTAGTAGAGAACAGTGAATTCGAGACAGACTAAAAGACTATCGCGAAGGGAGTTAAAACTAGAAACGCTTCTCATTTTCGCCGTTTGTGTTGCAAAGACGACAGGCCAGTTGAGTGGCGGAGGAGAGAGTAGGAGAAAGTTATGTTATGTACGAAAGACGCGCACACTAGTAGAGCTTCAAAACGGTGGGGTGCACGGAATGTCACTCGGCGAAGACCTAACACCATATTCGCTTACTTTCTAGAAGGGCTCTTGCGATCATAAGGACAAGCGTCCTACCCTTTTAAAGGGACATTGGTCCAATGAAGGCACATTGTTAGGCTTTTGGAGCTGCATCTTGTTAGAATGACGGAATGTGCATGAGAATAGAAGGAGAAGACGAGATACGAAAAAGAAATTAAAATACTATGTAAAGATTGCAATTGGCATGCTTCGGAGATTAAGCATCTCTTTTCTGATTTTCCTCCCATCACGTATGTCGTCCTTCTGTCAATCGTTTTACTTCCTTGCTCTACCCACCTTCGCTTCCATTCCTGGCAAAAGTAACAAGGCCTGATTCGCATTAGACGCCTATGGACTTTTCCTGCTGGACATCTCCTGTGCCCGAATTCAAGCTTTATCGGAGGATTTCCGACCAAAGGGAGTGGATGCAGCCATCGGGGCGCTGTAATCAGGAGTTTACTCCAAGTTCTACGACCTAATGAACAGCATCAGTGAAAGGCTGAAACCTCTATTTTTAGGGGACAAATGTCGTCATTCCTAATGGAGCGCGCGACCCATGGAGCCTTTTGAGCAAACTCACTTCGAAGGATCCTACAGTTGTTCCATTCCTTGTTAGCAGTCAGTTTTTCTTTGGGACAAACTTTACTTGAAATTAAGATAATTTTTCAGATATGGAGAACCTTTTTTTTAAATATGGTAATATCACTGTTAACTTATAATGTCTTATCATATGTCATGATAAGAGCGTTGACCTATAAAGTATTGCACCATTTTCGTTTACTTATATGACGGTCTTTTTCAAAATGGTTGTAGGTGTTCCAATACCAGGTTTTATTAGTTTGTTCGCTCAATCTCGGTCACTCTTCTTGCTCAAGAAAACATGATCGTGAGAAAATGACAATTATCCAAACAAGTTTGAATGATTTTTTCGAACTCCTTTCCATCTTTTTGGGGAACTGCGACCTCGCCGAGATTATACGGTTTTAAAGGCAAATTCAGCTTGAACTGATGAAGGTAATTACTCAAATGTGATGTAGGGGCGGGAGGTGGACCGCCAGTGGAGAAAAAAGGAAAAAAAATCGTGAAATACACAGGAAATACGAGCCTTTTGCTCTACGTTGCGGAGAAGTTCAAAAGGCCGGCAGGGAGATGAGAGATAATGTGAGCGCGGAGAGCGGTAGAGAAATCCGAGAAGAGAGAGCATAGCAGATCAGCATTGCGACGCAGACAAAATATCGAGCGGTGGGCGGAGCGTGTCGCAACAGGTGGAGCGTGTCAAAGTCCTTGGCCCCTAGCGCCTTAGTGACGCATTTCGATGCGGGAACTTGGCGAGTCGCCTGCAGTTGCGTCCCATGCACTTCTAGCCACTTTAAGGGCTTATTAGGTGGGTCTGAGCCCGAACTTTGCCTTTAAGTCCCAAGATGATTGATCCACTCCTTTTCCTATACTTTCCTGCATGTGAACCTCTCGGAGCCGCCCAGTAGCCTCTCACTCATATGTGAGCTGACGGAGTTGCAGTGCTAGCAAGTTGCCAAAATGGAATCGTTTCGTTTCATAGGCTAAACGGTTTTTCGCTGATGACATCATTACTCCTAAATTGTTGCAATATCAACAGATAGAATGTGATAGAGCTTGATCACCATAGACTTCCACAAAAGGTTGATAGGCCTTATCAGCTGACTTGAATTGAAGGAGGATTCCACGATAAGATCGGATGATGAGGTAGGAAGTATACCTAGTCTAAAGGCAGGTGGGTTCCCTACGAGACAATGCCCGTCTCCATCCTTTCACCACTAGCTTTATAGTGAACTGCTCTTTTGCACGTTTAAGCAGCAGAAATGGAGATGGGAATATGTGATTTCTAGCGCTTCATTTTCAAGTCTCTGGGCATTACAAAAACCATGAGAAATGGCACGGAAACCACTATGTCCTGCAGAGGAACGTCTGCTATCAAATTTCAAAAGAAAAGAACTGTGTTTATAATTTGACTCTATTGTTTATCATTCAACGCTCCTAACCAGCATTAAGTGAAAACCTCAAAACTCAGCTCAAAGATTTTGCTCTGTTCCTTCAAAGCTCGTTTGAGAATAGCTTTCGGAAAGCGTCACATGTAATCTTTACTTTTTTCATGCCGGGGAGCGCAGTCAAAGACGTATCTATGATCACCTAGATGAGATTGCTGCACTCAAGAGTGAAATCAGAGCAGCAAATTGCTCCAAAGCCAAAAGCAGTGAAGATCATGGCCTCGTTCTTGTGAAATAAGTGGCGCTTCTTCGCAGACTGGGCGCTGAGGAATGGGATATAGAAACAATCACAGACACTATACACGCAATACAAGACAGACCGCTGCTTTGTGTTTAGATTGAAAACATGGCAGTACAATGGCAGGGCTTGGCGTCCTTGTCGTTCTTTCTGAGCAGCGAGAGCAACCCAGTTCTAGGCTTAGCGGATCCCGGAGAGTTTGCTTCAAGAGTCGCATAAGATCACTATCTAGAGAATGGTTCCTCGAAAATCCGTACCGAATGACGTGGCCATAATCGCAACCGATAAAAACTTTATTTTGAAATATACTAGCGGTCAAAAGTGTTCGCCAAAACGATTTTCAGTGCATTATTTTTTTTCTCTTGCTCTGAGCGCAAACGTCCTTGACTAAAGATTGAGCATGCTCGATGTTTTCTAAAGCTGGTTTTGTTTTTTATTACAGTCATCTGTCGAAGTCCCTCAAAGATAAGATATTCAAAGAAACAAATCAAAATCAAATTAGCCCTGTCACGAAGGCTGTCTCGACTAGGCGAACCTTCGCACTCGAAGACTTATGTAATATTAGCACATACTTTTCGCATCCATCATTATTCTTGAATAAGTGCCTGCGAAAAAATCAAAAATCAACTATTCCACCAACGGAAATGAATTTCCAGATAGTCTCACTGCTGACGATATTTGCCCCACAAAGAGACCATTCACTAAGATGCTGAACGTCCTTTACGCGAATATTTCTCAATATTGACAACTGGAGTTTCCGACATCCGCCCAGACCGTTCCTATTGGTGGAAGTATGTCACAATTCTAAGAGTCTGACACTATCTGAATACTACGGTAAATGCTTAGCTAAGAACGCTTCTTGTTGTTTTCGAATTTAGTTTCCAGTTCTCACAAGGGAAGGATACCAGGTCGAAGTGGCCATTTGTAACGAGACATACACCACTAGATGTGTTTTTGGACGCTGATCTTGAATCTGCTCTCCAAATCTGCGGAACGATTCTCCGAACGTAGTTATGAAGCGAGATAGTGCAGTGGCAGCGGCCGGGGCCAACGGGAAAGACGTCGTGGGATCGAATTTTCGGCGAGTTTTGACTTTTGCTTTTCCTGAGGACATTGTTAAGGGAATCACTCGCCTTTATTACTAGTGCGAGGAGATAGCGAGGAGTTTCGATCAAGTGTGCGTGCCATGTGCAAATGACCAACGGTGACTGCCCACATTTGCAAAGTTAGGTACAAATTTCAGATTTGGACCAAAAGTTGTGGAAAGGGGCATTTTGACGCGCTGAATACGAATATCACCTCTGTTTGGCACGAATGCGCCTGACGCGTGCGCTACGAGTACAAGGGGCGATCTTTTGCGAATGGCGCGCACAGTGTTAGATGCTCCTCGCTAGCTATTCCCACTTGTAATATAGGCAATCGCTAATAATTTATATGGATAAAAGCATCTTTAGCAATGTCTCAAGGAAAGCAAATGTGAGATATCGCCAAGAATTCGATCCCACGACCTCTTTTCCGTCGGCCTGGGCCGCTGCCACTGCACTATCTCGCTTCATAACTACGTTCAGGGAATCGTTCCGCAGATTTGGAGAGCAGATTCGAGATCAGCGTCCAAAAACACATCTAGTGGTGTATGTCTCGTTACAAATGGCCACTTCGACCTGGAATCCGTTCCCTTGTGAGAAAGCCCATTCAAAAGTAATTCGTAATCGAGAGCCTTTTCCCACGTTTTAGTTACAGAGATCACTCAGAGGGTTGAATTTCGAGATGTAAGAAAACACATAAGAACCTGAGAGTGGTAGAAATTATTTGATTTCCGACGCCAAGACTCTGGACAGGTCAAGCCGTAGACGTTTGGAGCGCTCTTGAGGACGTTGGACTGCATGTTCACACGGCGCTCTCCCGCACCGTCATACCTCTCCGCACAGCACGCGAGACGCGTCCTGATGTCTCCGTCGTACCGTCCTATCCGCATTAACTACTCGATCGCGAGCTCGTGATGGAACTTTGTCAACAAACCGCCCACGGGTTTGAAGCTGCTCTGGACGCATGGCGTGTTAGCGGCGAGAAGACGGCTTATTGAAGTGCAGCAACAGTCGTGTGCGATGAATAATCCGAACATCTTTCTGTGAGCTCAGCCGATCTAATTGCCCCTTGAAATAGATTTGCCTATACTCGAAGAACTAAGATGCTTGAGTTAATAAATAGACCGATTATTATTTATCAACGATTTTGGTGGTATCCGCTTTTGTAATTGTTTATTTTGATACCACGACATAAGTGGGTCAGAGCTCGGTAGCCTTGCGAATCGAACGTCATTTAACATCGCACATTGGTACCTAAAGGATTCATTCTCGCTCTTCTGAAGGATCACTGCCTAGAAGAAGAACAGACGACAAACTTGAAAGACGGTTTTGCAGGTCCGAACTCCTCTCAGCCCCAGTTTTTTGGAGTCCTAGACCACAATATTTGCCGGTTAATCTCATGTTTCCCCGACTGAACCAACTCGTGTGGATTCCATCTCTCCACCTGGAACAGTTTGCACGTGACGCAAATAGCACGACTTATGATTCTCTAGGAGGACTGAAAGCCTACTGCAAATCGAGGGGAACTGACGCCCGGGTTGTCTTCAGAGGCCTTCGGGTATCTACGCTCAGTGTACATATGTCCGAAACGGTCGGTCAAGGGCGCAGTCGTTCTACAAAGCTTCCCATACCGCTATGGGCAGATCTCTACTCAACGTATAAACCTGACGAATATTCCGAGAGGCTTACTACTTGGTGAGTGCTGATAAAACGGCAAAACTGCAGTGGACAATCAGGGCTTTTTTGAATGAGTGGTAATGGTCATCATTTCTCACGGGTACCGCCCCCAAGGGCTCCGTCGCGCGGCCAACCCGCGAGTCGGCCCGACCGAGATACTCGCGCAGCGCGTGTGTACGATGTGACTAGTGTAGTGAGCACCCTTTATTCAATTTGACGTGAAATCAACGATGCGCAGCAGCACACACTCGCCCTGCTGACGATTAATGCTTACGTCTGTCCGCGAAACCGAAACGAGGTATCAACCCCCAATTTCTTACTAGAAGACGATCAGACGTCACTTTATAACAAGAAAGTATGTCTGTGGTGACGCACATACTCTACTACCTGAAAACCGGCTTGAACTATTTATGGGAAGTAAAGCGGATTGGACAAATTTCCACCCTCGACCTGCAAGTGAGACTCACCCACCCCCCTCAAAAAACCTCACAAAAATCAACAACTAAGCAAGAAACTATCCTCAGGGCTCGTGGATACCGGCTTCCTTCAAGATAACTAATTAACGAAGACAATAAAGAGGCACCGCAATGCCCTGGCAAGACGGAGGTGGAAATCCCCTGAGGATATGAAGAAGCAATTCAAAACCTGCCACCTAAGAAATTCTCACAAGTGAACGAACTCTAACAATTCGTTCATAAATTTCACTCCATTTAAATATCTTTACCACGAAACAAAACCCTGAATGATGAGAGGAAGGTAATAATCTAAACAATAATTTGATGATTTACAGTCAGAACACTGTTCGGACATATACCCAGATCTTAACCACACAAGATGACCTGAAGCAGAGAACATCCTCCGAAATAATACCAGCTTGGGGAGACTCCGCATAAGGGTTCCTCCCCGGAACAGACAATGGTAAGTGAGTATTACGTTCCATTTGATACGTTCGCTCAAAGCAGCGTGTACGTGGCATCCAGTTTTGTTTGTTGACGATGGTGGTGTATACAATACTCTCCCGACGTCTACTACTGTAACACTATCAGATTCTGCAAGACGTTGACGACGACACGACGACAAGAACAGGCCAAGATTTAGAACTAAATAAAATAATTTTTCAGACGCAAGCATACCAGGCCATTACGAATCCGGATTTTACCTCAGCCTGTGACCATTTCGACAATCAAAACCCTACAGGCATTGATCAGTGCCTTACACTTTTCAAAACCTTATAGATCTTTCCTGAATATGATGTGTACCCATCCGTTCATTTCTTAGCTTCAAGAAATTCAGGGAATAATTCTAAGAAAAATAAAACAGGAACATAAAAACATCAGAAGACAAAAGTGAGAGACTCCCTCCAAACATCCGAAAGAATGCATTCTAGTTCGGCCTGGCCACTCCCTATAAGACTCCTGTATGTGTAATACTTTGAGATGCTGATCTTGAATCTTCCTTTCAAATCTGCTAAAAAAAATTGGGAAGGAGTCATAAGGCTCTTCTATTCACGCTTCTGTGAACCCAGTGAGACACCTGAGGAGTAACGTGTTGGGTAGCAGTAGCGCACGCAGTTGGTGGGGCCCAGGCCCAGCAGGCGACCAATTTCAAAGGTAATTTGACCGCTAATCACTGCAATATCACTTATTCGGCGCAAAAATATCTGACAACTGTGATGCAGGCATCACGGTTTACCACGGTTTAACAGTGGTCCAAATTTCTTTGTTGTTGATTGAAATGAAACTCTTCCAAAAGGCTTCATTTGACGACGTTTCGGGCCGTAAGCCCTTAAGTAAGTGGCCAAATTGCTTACATACATACTTTTCTTGCAGGCAATTACGCGAACACTGATGAAGCATTTGAAAGTACTTCTAGCTATATTGCCGGAAAAGTAAAAAAAAGCGCCACAACAAATCGATCCCATGACATCTTGATCGTGAGCCCCGACCAATACCTTTGGGCTTCCCCCTTCGTAGCTCCATTCAAATTATCGTTTAGTAGATTGAAAAATATATAATAATAGATCCGAGATCAGCGTTTGAGTTTGCATTGAAGTATGAAGATCTTTCCTCGAATGGCCACACCCAGTACCTTTTCCTTGTTAAAGACCTATAAACGTCAATTCAAGTACCAAAAGGCAAAGCCCGTGATAAAATGGATGAGTAAGGGCGCTTAATGATAAAGTTGGGCGGAGATTCATTCAAAAAAGGGAAGGGAATTATAAAATCTCCACTTGCGTCGCGAACAAAGCCTCTCTACTTCAGCTGCCCTCCACTTTGTTATGGGAAGGGAATGTGTCCGGACGAGTTTGTTGCAGATAACCGCATCAGCTGCTTTCGATTTCATATGTAATCTTGAACTGCTTCTAACAGCTTCGCCGGAGTCTACTTTGGGTGTAGTCGCGGCCATTGTCGCTGATCCTTACAACAACCGCGGTGAGTGGGGAGGGTTACACGGAGAGTTGATGGATGCAATTCTCTGAATGATAGCTCCCTAACCGTGCGTTCGACGACGACGACGAAGGTGGCACCACCTCTGTGCATTCGGACCTGACAATCTCACTAGCGATATGCTTCCTACTGAAGAACCTAATTTCAGGGCTTGCCTTTGATGGGGGCTAGCCAAAGCAGGAGTGTAGAGATAGTACACAGTCCTATCTAGAGCCAAATAACTGGCCCCAGAATGGAAGATTCTAGACTTGTTCGGTTGACAGAGGTCAGCTCCTTTAACTGACATGAGGCTCAAAAACACCGAAAACTATTAGACCACAAACGTATTGCAGTCTGCATCCATAAGTGATGGCACATAATCGCGACCGATGAGTCGGAAACTAGAATTGAATTAAGTCAATTAATTTTGACGCTCTCCAGAGATTCTTCAAAAACGAACAATGGGCCAAACCAGACGGTCCAATCTTCTTGATGATTGGTGGCGAATCACCTGCGCGCCCTTCATGGGTTCTCAACGAGAACCTCACCTATCTTGAAGTGGGCGAATAAAGTTCGGAGCAACAGTGTATCTACTAGAACACAGATATTACGGCGAGAGCCACCTCTTCGAGTATGATTTTATCTATTCATATACTTATTCGATATAATTAAATTATCACGAAGACAATATTTTTAGAGCAGTTGGTGCATTCAAAAATAAGATATACACATATTATCTATCTTCTCTACAAATGCTTTATGACGTGGCCAATTTCATAAGAACCGTGAACACCGAAATGGGAACGGATAAGCCCGCTAAATGGATAGTTTTTGGTGGATCGTATTCTGGTGGGTGTTATTTGTTTTGCTTTGCTTGTTTGTTGTTTGTTTTGCTACCACACTTTTTCTCACCAACCAGCACGTACACTGTATGCTATTACGAAGTTACAATCGATTTGGAAATTGAAACAAAACGACGCTCGGGAATGGCCTCCGAGAAAGCTTCATCGGGATGGACGAAAATGTGTTGGTAGAATGAGAAAGCGATTCTACACATAGACACAACTTTCTCAAAGAGGCACTATTTACCCTTTACTGCCCCACTCCTCGAGAACTGAGCCGGATTTTGATCGAAATTCGTCCATGACTGTGGATTTTGCTAGAAACTTGCCTTCAGGGGTAATTTGACCCGTAGATCACGAATATAATACCGGTTTAGAGCGAAAACGCTTGGCGCCGCGCCACAGGCGCCGGCGCTATCACAACAGTTTTGCGCGGGCGCTCGTAGCGCAGGCTACAGGTTCACTCGTAACAAACTGATGTGATAATCATATTCTACGGGTCAAAATACCTCTGAGGACAACTTTCCAGCGAATTTGGGGATCCGAGATGTTCTGGCGCCTTTTGGCGCCGGCGCTTCTGACGCGAGCGCCAGGCGTTCTAGCGGTAAACAAATGTGATATTCGTGTTCTACGAATTACCCCCGAAGGCAAGTTTCTGGCCAAATTCACAGTCAATGACCAATTTCGATAAAAACCGGCTCAGTTCTCGAGGAGTGGGGCAGTAAAGGGTAAATAGTGCCAACTTTCAATTTGAGGAGCTACAATTAATTTTTTGGGTGAATATCACTTCTGGGTAATCCACATTGTATACCATACTGCAAACGTCTTCCTCTCGAATCTTTCGCCCAACTGTTGCCACCTATCTAACATCGGCATAGCGTCTTCGAAGAAGAATACTCTGAAATCCATGATGGTGGAACGACCCCCCGAGAGGCCGGGGACTGGTTCACTGCCCCCAGAACTCCAGCACTTTCATCAACCGTGCAGGGTAGAACGTGTGCCTCGTGGGCGGATGCACGAGGACTGTAGCGATTTTTATTTTGATCAAAAACGTACAGTTTGAATTGAGATATGCGCACATGAGAAAAGGGTAAAATCGGCGGCAACTTTCCAAACCTATCTACCTTGGAACTCATTTGGCGCCCTTCAATCACGTCCAGTCTCATAAAAAGAATTCTCCGGTCCGAAAAAATAACACTTAGCCCGCTAGAGAGCGCGAATCTTGGTTTCAGCAAAGCATGCGTTATCCTAATTCAAGAACTGCGACGATAATGATGCGCATTCGCTCCGAGGGGTAGGCCGAAGGTGTGAACTATTCACAAGAAGAACGGGGTCGATTAACAATTAGCTCTGTTAATAAAAAAAAGCATAAAGGATAAAGCATTTGCCGTTGATCAATCCCTTTTTGGGATGCGGCACGCATTCTACTTCCATTTGTACATTCGTAGTGGCGTTTGAATGCGATGTGGCCTTTTGCTCTGTTAATATAATGCTATATGAAGAATTTTTCAGGATCATTAGCATTATGGATGCGTCAACTCTTTCCGGATTTAGTACATGGAGCCGTCGGCTCATCTGCACCTTTAGAGGCAAAATTGGACTTTACGTAAGAAATTCGTTTGTTTTATGGTTAAGAAATCGTTTGTTTCTATGTCTACAAGTCCACCACATAAACCTATGTTTGCAGAATGATGTTCCGTGGACTTTGCTGTATGCCGACGACATCTTTTCTCGCAGCCACCAGCAGAGAGGATGAACTACAGCATCGAGTTCAGATTTGGTGCGATCGGCTTAGCCAGTACGGTCTTCGTCTCAACATCAAAAAGACCGAGTACTTGGAAACTGTTCAAGATGAGGGAACTATCCAGGTCACTGGCGAGGAACTACCAAAAACCACCTGCTTCAAGTATCTGGGTTCCCGCCTGCAAGCCAATGGAGGTCTTGAAGACGAGATAAGGCTGAGAATAGGCGCGGCATGGATGAGATGGAGAGAGATTACCGGAGTCCTGTGCGACAGACGTATGCCGATCCGCCTTAAATCGAAGGTATACCGGACTATGGTCCGCTCTACTGCATTATACGGATCTGAATGTTGGCCGAGCACGAAAGGCGCTGAGCGTCAACTTCACGCTATGGAGATGCGGATGCTCCGGTGGTCGCTGGGAATCTCACGTCTGGACCATGTTTGCAATGAAGTGAATTTCGACGGC